CTGTACTGATAAATAGCTTCCGCTGCATACCCAGTGCTAAAAATGCATCGGAAAAAAAATATTACGTGGAAATCATAAGAGAAAAAGAAAGTGCAAAATAGAGAGTTGTTTTTTTATTTCCGATGCAAAGCATTGTTTGCATACAAACCATTTTCACGAGAATTTGTTTTAAGTCTCAGGTAATTATTTTTAATGGAACAATCTAATTTATGGGCACAACGCGTATTAAATTAACCGCGTTTAGTGCACACAACCGATGCTGATGATGTAGCAGTTATTGAAGATACCCTTTCATGTATTATATTCAGTATCTCTTTATTTCAATATTATACAAACTTTAATTTGCATGTGCGTCTGTTGTAATATATTTATTTCCTCAAATACAAGAGGACGCAGCCAATGAGGAACAGGGCTCCCATACACAATTTTACTATGTACGTACTTTTGTTCATTTAAAAATATTTGTCTTCAGGTACACAGTGGAAATCAAGATTGCTCTTGAAACACTGTGATCTGTTTTAGTTGGCTAGCTTTAAAATAATTCACATTTTCATAAGAATGCTGAGTACTTCATTTGTTGATTGCTTTTCGTTGTGAGTAGCCGCTTCATTATGGAAATTGTTGTACAAACGTATAGTCTCGTTTACGTTTGTTGATATTGCAATGGCTATAATATCCGTGTTGCAAGATGATCCAAAGTTTCAATTTCCGACCTGATTAAAGCAAATTGTACGATTGTGTCATTTGCATGTTTAACTCCTGAAGCTAAAAGCTATAATATATCAGGTCGCGAAAGAGTACATTAAAACATTTTAACTCTGAACGTAAACAAATCAATCTGAAATTTACAGCTATGTCAGTTTAATGCGGCGTCGAAAAACAGCAAAATAAGATGAAAATAAGTGATTTTTTAAAACTATCTGAGCGTACATATATTTACAGTGGGTGAAGCCTGGTCGGCACGAGTTTCTTTCTGTGGGGCGGGGGGGGGGGGGGGGGGTGGACGTGCGCACATCCGTAGATACGCCACTGCAAATATGCTGATCACGATGTGCTTCTTATATTCGCCACACAATACAAAGATCAATGTAGATACTTTTGCAACTCTTGATCCGTACGTATCCAATAACTTCGATGCCACACTATTAATTGCACGTTGCTCCTTGGTGTAAATTTTCATATAAATTAATAGATTTTCACATGCATTATTACCTTGTGTAACTGTAACCCAATCCTGGAGTAGATTGAATTCAGTGTCTGAGAACGTTCACGAATCATAAAACATCGAGCTTTTGTCTGATCAGTACTCTCTCAGAATAGCCTATTATATGTTCAAATGGGAGATGCTTCCTATGAAATTGAAATTAAATTAATAAACCAAGTATCTAAACATGAAACTTGTAACATAAAAAACATTTAATGTACGCGCACGAAATTCGATATCATTGCATAAACATTAGTGGTTATTTATGATATATTTACTTTATAGGCCCCTTATAATTATGCAAATTTTACAGTATATTAGTACACACTCGTTCAATCAATAGAAGTGTGTACGAAAGTTCTTAGAAATATAATAATAATATATAATAGGGGTAATTAAAAAATATATAAATTTTCCGATCACCTAAACGAATTTTGCTGAAAGTCTTTGGATTAACGAATTTTTTATTTTCATTAGAAATTGATAATGTATTTTAGGCCTATACTTTTCATACACAATTCAGAGGTTTAATTATTATTTTTTTTAAATTTTACTACAAACCTGTATAGCTCTGTCTTTAATTGCAAGCCAACAATAATCATCTCATAAAATGTGATCATCCTAAAATCTACATCTTTTATTGGCTTGTTATAACCTCAGTGCCTTATTTCATTTTCATCTAGGCGTTATCTCCAATACACTATTATTAATAACAATATTAATATTTTTATTCTACTACCACTTCGTCCTTGACCATGAAGATTTTCTTGATTTATTCTAGGCCTTAAGCTCATTTTTAATAGTAGTAGTAGTGCAATGCAAGATAATTTGGATTGTGATTATACGCAGACAATAAACCCATGTAGGCCTTTTTACCAATAACAATATTGAATCTTAATTTTTTAATGATATGTACATATAATAATACAGCTAGTGATAATAGCAGTATAAGTAGGCCTGTATTTCCATTTTTCATTAGGTATAGCTATAATTATAATATAAGATGAATTCCTTTTTAAAAAATACAGATGATGGAGCTGTTAGCTCGAATCCGAGTTAGCTCGAATCCTGTTATTCATTATGATTCGTGTCAAGGTGTTACCTCATTGACATTCCCATCTTTATTACACCTTCATGATGTTGTTTCATAAGAACACTGGAGTCGTTTCCCCCAAGGATCTAAAACACATCAATACTACGTTAAAAAGCCAACAATGTAATAATCACGAGTCATGTACAGTAAGCTTTTTTTTTCTTTTTCTTGTTAAAAACGTCTTATTTTACTTCTTCCTTTGTCATATGGTTGTTGAGTGAGCAGGGTTCAATATTCAATTCCTCTAACACTAACCTAGAGAGGGTGGGGCTGGCGGAGAAAAGGTGCCTCGGGCCCGGGCCTTGCTGGGGGCCTGGAAGAAAAGGTACAGTTTTCTTAAAGGTATAATTTCTGTAGTAATCGTTTAAATTAAACATATACATACAAAAAGCTGTAGACATTTAATGCTTGATCAATATAACTAAAACCCATTTTTGTAAACACCCAATACCCATAAAGTTTATCAATCTGAGCTAATTATATCATATCCGTTTACTCTTAGCAATTGGCAATTAAAAATGTTGTTTTGGAAAACAAATATTTTACCTAATTATGTATATGTATATATAGGCTAATATATGTATAGGCTATAGTCATTGAGACATATATAATTATATATCATCAACTATTATCTATTATTCATTACGAAAGCAGGTTAACTCGGCCCCAGTTAACTCGGCCACAAGTCAACTCGGCTACAAGCCAACTCGGCCCCAACACACACACACACACACACACACACACACACACATATATTACATGATGGACCCAAATGGAAATAAGTTTTCCTTTATATAATTGTATATACAAATATATATTTCGCCACTTTCGGACAACACTAGTCCTTCCTCAGTGGCGAGTGTTATATATATATATACAAATTATTCATACGGTATATAGTTAAAAGCGTTACCGCAAGACGGTTTATAGTTATCATTTATCATACTGTATTCATCATCATCATCATCATCATTTCAGCCGTTTTTGGCCCACTGCAGGGCAAAGGCCTCCCCAAGCTGAAACCATCCACGTCTGTCCTGTGCAGCTCTCATCATGGAAATTCCGGCAAATCTCACGATCTCATCCCTCCATCTGATTTTAGGTCTTCCTCGACCTCGTATGCCTATTCGGGGAGTCCATTCAGTTGTTAGCTTCGTTTATCTGTTGTCATTTGTTCTGGCGATGTGCCCTGCCCATCTCCATTTCTTTTTTTAATACTTGCATAACATCATTAACTTTTGTTTGCTCTCTGATCCTGTTTATAGTTTTCCTGTCTAACTTGGTGATCC